CTTTGCCCAATCAAGAATCATCTCCTGAATCAGTTGATTTGATAATGTAAGTTTTTAAACTGGTATTTTAGATTATAGCCTCGGTCAAATGAGGATGAAAGTCATGCATGAATTGCTTATAAATACACATTTCAAGTTCCAGATTAACAAAATATTATTAAAGCTTTGATGAGTGTTCCAACTATGTTTCAACTTAATTAAAATACTCTCATCCTCATTTGATCCATAATTATTTGTTGATTTTACTCGATACTAAATAGTGAAACATCGAATCCAGAGAGAATCTTATTCTTATGCAGAACCCACTGTAATCCGAGCTGTAACCACATAATGATATAAAAGTCGTTTCAGTAGCAGCAAAAGCCAAACTAAACACCAACTAGGATTAATAGGTTTAGCTTTTAGGCCGAGAATAATACACGATTGACAATTTTGTGGCTGATTGATTAATACTGTATATTGATGTCGTTGTTGTATACAGGATATACAGATACAGATATTTCACAGCACACTCCCTATCAGGGCTTTTCAATGACTGGTTACATTATGAATAGCTAGATAGATAGAACCGGACTGACGTGAAGCAGACCGAGGTAGACTTTGAGCTTACAAATGGCGCTTGAGCAGCCGCTATTAGTCCATACCTCATTAATGATCTGCCTCCAGACCTTATGTGCCTAACCCATCCTGTCAACTTTCCCTGTGGAAGGAAACACGGAGTACCCGGAGAACTTTCGGCAGAGCATTGACTTTTACTCTTTTCACATGAGGACTGGGTTCGAGACATGTCAAATTATTAAATTAATACTTGAATCTATGATTATGTTGAGCATGGCAGATTTGACATTTGAAACATTGGGTCGTTCCAGAAAAGATCCATACCCCCCCTACGGAGGAAATCGAAAATAACCCCCTCCCCCCCTTCGGACATCCTTGAATGGTTCATCCTCCCCCCCTCTCTGGACATCAAAGCCCAAAATTACCCCCCTCCCCTTCGGACATCCACTATTTCTAAATTTTTCTAAAGGCTAGCTTGCCATTTGAAAACGTCACCGAAAATTAGACTACGTTCACACTACGCGCAAGCGAACTAATGCGGGCAGAATTTACGTGTGTTCAGACTAAGCCATTACAGTTTGTTTACAAATTGAATATATTAGCACTCGTGTAAACCCAAAATATTTCAAATAGACCCAAGAAATTTAACTGAAAAGCATTCGAGTTTACACGTTTGTGTTCACACGAAGCTATTAAGCGCTCCGCCGTTTTACCTCGCTCCGTTTAGAAACCGTGCTCAAATTGTTACGGCAAAAGTGACGTGAAAGTTTTCAAACGATTTCGCTCCAGCGTAGAGTGAATTAGCGATGGCTTATTGTGACTTTTCGACGCTGTTTTCAAATAGCTCCGGCGTGGCGGAACACTTGGCGGCTTCTTGTGACTTGCGAACACAAACACGTGGCAGGTTTTGTCGGATAATTTGCAGAAATTCACTTCGAAATTCGTTCAAGTAAAATTCGGACTGAAATTTGATGTAACTTGCGACTGATTGACAAGCGTTGCTGTGTTTACTTACATGTTAATGCATTTTTTAGTATTACTGCATTCCTTAACCTCGCCCTTAATATGAAAGCCATTTCTATTTTCTAGACACGCACCTCGCAAGGAAGCTTTATTGACTATATACTAAAACAAATTGTTTTGAGTTCAGTTCACATAGTAGTCTCTTAATTCGAGCAACAGTTTAATAACTACTGTATTATTTTTAACACTTGAATAATTGAAACTTATATATGGCGAACGAAAACTGCAAACTATATAAATAAAGCGTGTCAATTTTCGACTCATTCTCAACATGCAGGATACGCTGTTACAGCGAGTTAGTTTTTGGTGGCCATGCATGCAAAAGTGGGCCGCTTATTTTGCTTACGAGTTACGTGGACGTATAATTATTGCTGTTACATAAACGTTCCGGTGTTCAAGAGTTACATATAGCCGATAAAAATTGCGTGCTCATTATAATCGCCGATCACATAGCTTTATCACAGTCTCAAACCTTCAGACAAACATATCCACATTCCTCTCCCCCCCTTCGGACATCCTAAGACATTTTTCCTCTCCCCCCCTTTGGACATCCTAAGACATTTTTCCTCCCTCCCCCTTCGGACAGCAAAAATTTCCTCCGTGGGGGGGTATGGATCTTTTCTGGAACGACCCATTGTTGATGTTAATAACCCATTGAGTCGCATTGCGCCCTGATGCGCGCTAAGTATTTATTATTTTACTCTGTCTAACTCTAGGCAATTTTACTCATCAAGGGGAGAGCGCTGGCGCTTAATGTGTTAACTAGGCTATCTGCCCATGTTTATAGTTAACTCATTGAGTCGCATAATTGTGCCCTAATGCAGCCTAATTTATTATTTTATTCTGCCTAACGCCAGACAATTTTACTCATTAAGGGGAGAGCGCTGGCACTTAATGTGTTAACTAGCCTATCTGCCCATGTGTCTAGTTAACCCATTGAGTCGCATTGCACCCTAATTTATTATTTTGCTCTTTCTAGAGCCAGACAATTTCACTCATTAAGGGGAGAGCATTGGTTTGTTAACACATTGAGTTGCATTGTGCCCTAATTTATTATTTTACTCTGTCTAACGCCAGATGATTTTACTCGTCAAGGTAAGGGCGCTGGTGCTTAATGGGTTAACTCATTCCAGAAAACATTCATACCACCCCCACAGAGGAAATAGGAAGTTAACCCCCCTACCCCTTCCTGATGTCCTAATACATTTACTTTTATCAGAAACAATTTTTTCTCCCCTCCCCCTCCGGACGGCAGGAATTTCCTCCGTGGAGGGAGTATGGATCTTTTCTGGAACGACCCAATGCGGCCTACTTTATTTTTTTCTCTGTCTCAAGAGGAGAGCGCTGGTGCTTAATGGGGTTAATATTGAAAATATAGATCAACATTTGTCAAAACTCGTGACTTGTGCAATCATTTCTGTAATAAATAAGATATTAATAAAATACCAAATATAATGCCTTATGGCTTATTTCAAATAGGGAGATGCTATGTCCATTGAAACTTAGTGGATTTGTTGTACATCAAATAAATGCTAGCCATAAACATATTCAAGTCAATCGAAGAGAATGTAGAATTGCACTTTACATAAAATTCCTTAGTTATTGTACATTAATGCAAAAAAAATGCAGCATGACATTGTGTAATGTTTGAAATGGAAATATATTGTTTTAATTTTATTTCTATGGTTTGTACTATGATATACATGGGCTATACACTCTTTGGGAACCCGCAGGGCTGTTGGCAGAGCATTTCCATGATCTGGAACTTCAGTCCTAAACACGATGTGTGGGTGCGAAGATGTTGTGTAGGAACAGAACTGTACAGATTAGAAATATGATTACTGATATTTTCCAAAGAAAAACTATTAATATATAGAAGAGGAAAGAAAGAGGCAATAAATAACCCAAAGTATCTGTTGTAAATTTGAAATTTAAAAATGGTAGGCTTATTAAGGATGAGATACAGAGAAAAACAGTAATGCAGAACTACATTCTCTTAAATTGTCAAAATTAAACGCTACCAATAATCTTGGTCTCGTTTCAAACTTGAATAACAAAAAGTCTAAAATATATAAAAACTATAAGAACAGATCAGCTAAGTCCAGTTATAAAATTAAATTATGAAGGAAAGCTGTCATTTTAGGAAAGTGTTGTTTTGGGGTGTGTAAACTCATGAGGTTACATGTTTCTGGTGAAACTGTGCTTGCTGCAGCAAAAATTTATTAATCGTTTGTGATATAATTCACAAGATGTCTATTTTAACCTGTGGGTTGCCAAACTTCTTAATATGGAATTTGTTTTGTCTGACCAAGATATAATTAATGTACCACTAGGGACATGGGTATGTCCAATTAATATTTAACTAGAGATAAATGCATGCAGCAAGCCCTAGCCTATATTTTCCAAACATTGATTTAACATGAAGTATTGCAATTGGCCAGCACTGAACGCAGGCTCACGTTGTCAAGGCAACATAATGTCACAATATTTTAAATTTTTTGAGTAATTTTGCAAGTGTTCATACCACAGAATCTACCATACATAATTTTAAACAAATAAATAGGTGAAGTAATTCGAACAAAATGATTTTGAACTTTATTACTCTACTCTGTCGAACGCCTATTCTACTCGTAAAGGGGTGAGCGCTGGTGCTTAATGGGTTAAATAAGATCGTATAGTTATATGTATATCATGTATTATGTTTTTATGCAGTCTCCCTGAATCACTTGTACCAGGCTATGGAAATTCATGTTTCCAATTTTGTATTTATTTTACTTATGATACAGTATATTGTAAATTTGAATAATATTTGTGTGCTTATAGTGAGCTTATTTTTAGGCGAGTTTGTTGCGGGCAGCATATATTTTGATATTTCAAAATATTACTGTATATTGGTATGTTATACTTAATGCTTTTGGAATGGTTATAGGGGTGTGATATACTTTTTCAGGTATTTTGTGTCTGATGTATGTAAGAGCTTTATTTTTGGGTTTATCTCTCTTAGTGAGGCCTTATATCTTATGTGTCCTATAACCCCCTGTAATTGCGGATTATTGCATACATTCTAATTGTGTTTTTTTTTGTAGGGGTCCGAAGATGCAAATGATACCATTTCAAACTTATCACAACCCATATTGTGGCCGTTGGCAGCAAACTAGAATACGACTAGAAACTGTCAATCATACGTTATCGAGGGAAAGGATGAAAGTTCCATAACAAGCAACAGTTGTTTTGATGCAATTATCGCCTTATTGGCAAGTTTTTACATCTTCAATATTGAGTACTGCCACACGAAGAGCGTCTTGTCTGCCTTGGAGACTATAGTAGTGCATGCGCAACACAGAAAATGGCATACAACTGCCAATGAGGGTTACAGCCCTCTTCAATGACTTGTCATGACTCATGAATATTAATAGTACTACAGTAATTTTACACTTTTTGAGAGTTATGTTGACATATGCTAACCCAAGTTAATGTTATTGATGGAATATGTGTATTGTCTCACCGAACTGTGGTAATGTATTAGAAATTATTCGTATTGCGTTCACGTTAACAACTGCGCCTGCTATTGCTATCACAAGTTGATTGCTCTTTAAAATTAGAATTGTAAACTTTCGGAGCCATATGGCATATATGCACGAATCTTTTGATGGTTCCCACATTTCGGTGAGATCCATAATACTGACTACTGTGCATGTATATTGTAATTTTAGTTATAGTATTGTGTTTATAATACAGAAATTGGAACATTATTTATCTCAACTTATATTACGATAATTCATTCCAATATTGGTCTGTTGGAGAAATTGTAATAATTTAATCAAGACCAAATATACCCCAATATTTTTGCCTGCTTCATTATATACATGTAGAATACGTCTACATGCAAGAGTGCAACCAAATCCACATGACTTTAAATGCTCTATAAAACGGCACCACCAAAAAGCTATATCAGCTCGATCGGTTCTAAAGCACCTCTTCATTGGGGCTGAGACTGCTCTTCTCTGAAAGGGCGAGAACAGCTCCGGTTAACAAAGTAGGGGTTAAATTGGCTTTTCTTTTGGATCTATAATGGCTCTGAAATTGGACCAAATTGACCCTTTGGGTGCTACAAACTACACCATGAAAAAAGCTATATTAGCTCCTTCGGCTCTAAAGCAGTTCTTCTTAGGGGCTAAAACTGTGCTCTTCTGAGAGGGCCAAAATAGCTCTGGTTAAAAAGGTAGGGGTTAAATTGGCCTTTCTTGTGGTCTACAATAGCTCGGAAATAGAACCATATTGGCCCTTTGGGTGCTAAAAAACTACACCATTAGAAAAGCTATATCGGCTCCTTCGGTTCTAAAGCAGCTCTTCATTGGGG